AAAGCGAGATTTCCTGGAAAGATGTTTGTTGGGACAAAGTGAAAGAATGGATAGAATAAATCCTTTGAGCAAATCGAACCTGTGTGAACACATGGTCTGAAAAGAGAAAGACAGTTTGAGATCTGTAATCAGACGAGTCAAGTTAAGTTTGTGGCTTATCGCAGAGCAAAGAGAGCTAAGCCGTGCAGCAGATACGGATCAGTTCTGCTTGTGAGCTGAGACTTTAGCTGCTCTTTAACACATATGGACTGATGGACAATCCTCAACGGCAGGAAAGAGGAGGAGAGATGAACAAAAGAGGAGCAGGGAGGGAGTCAGAGGGGGAAGAAGGGAGGACAAGAGCTAATGTAGTCTTAAGTGAGTTAGTTTGCACTGAGTAATCCGTGCTCCTCCGCTGTTTACTGCTCCCTCCTGCCCCCCCTCTGTGCTCTCTGCAGCCACCTCACACTGGCACTGACTTGACAGCTCATCTGGAGAGGGTTTGATTCTCTGTGTGCTGCGAGATCTCTGCATCCGTGTGCGCCTAATAGGTTGTGTAGGGGAATTGTTGTCTTACATCAGCGGCTGTGTGTGTCTAAATATATATGTGCGTGTGTTTGTGTGTGTGAGAGAGAACACAATGGCAGCGAAGCTCTTTTTCCTCATGTAAACGTGAGGTGCTGCTGTTTCTTTCATGTTTGCTGCATTTGTAATTGTGTGTATGTTCACTCGGTGACTCTGTGTGTAAGTGTTATCACAGTCGCTGTAGGTGCCAGACTTTGCTATGACAGTGTGTGGTACAAATTTCACAGGCTCTCAAAAATGCATTGTAGTGTTGTTGTTTACCTTGGAAGGATTGCATTGTTCCATATTCACACAGCGGATGATAAAGACAAACATAGAGCCATTCATTAACCATTATTCAGCGACTAATGGATGTGATTGATGCTTCATATCTGGGTTTTCAACGAGCTCTGCATCCGCTATACTGGGGTTTATCTCTCCAGTGTCTTTTGATACTATTATGAATGCATACAGTTTATAGTTGGTGCACAGTAGACCTGTTCAGCGGTACGAGACAGTGACAACCATTAAACAAGTCTGTAAAAAGTAATTTCAGCCCCCTGGTGCTTTAATTCTAGCAAAAGAGGAATTATACATGAAGTGTCTTAACTCCTGCGGTGTAGATTTTGCAGCCATTTGCTTAAATCTGTGACAAATAAGTCTGAACTTCCAGCATCTGCTTCACAATTAAAGTTTTCCAAGAGATGAACAGATACATATTTTTATAAATATAGAGTGACTGTCATTGGAAATCCTATTGTTCCAAGGAATTATGTATGTTCCGTTGTGTTTCTAGATCTGGACTTGGATAAGGAACACCACCGGTCAAGAGTAAATAATATCAAGATATGTACGTAAAGATGAACGCGTCTGCACTTCCTCCCACTAATGAAGCCAGAATATTCTAGATACGAACGCTGCCATCTGTGCATCAGAACACATCAGAGTGTTTGGGGGATGGAGCCACGGTAGCAAGGTCACACCGATGAACATGCAGGACCACACCCTGTCACAACCCATTGGTGCAGAGTTAACACAGTATTACAGCTTTACTCTGAGTTTTGGGTTCTGAGTTAAATGTTCAGATTAAACTCCCAGTGCTGGATTAATGAACACCAGTGTGACACGACACAGATCTAATTTGATTGCTCAAAGTGCAGAGGCATAAATTGACCTTAACAAGTGAGACCAGGAGCGTTCTGTGCCAGGCCTGGATTTGTCTCTGCCAGGGGAGGAAAGCAGACCACTGTACACTTACTTGATCTTGCCTATAGCAGCATTACCTCACCATTTGTGTGTGTGTGTGTGCGTGAGAAGCCAAACAAAATTTAAAAAACATTGGGATCCTTGTTTTCTGTTAACGAATCAGTGTGTGTGTGCACTGAGCTCGCTTTGCAGTGAAAGCCTGGATTGACTTCTAGGACTCACACATAAATACTTATGTGTAAGCATGCATACATCCGAGTATGTGTGTGTGTGTGTGTGTGTGTGTGTGT